CCACCCATCCACCCCACCCACCCGGTCTTGGCGAAGTTGGTCCAGTAAGTCATGACGACGGCGCTGAGCATCACGTCGTTCTTGGAAAAGTTGCATGGGAAGAGATCGGTGGCTCCCACCATGGGCACCCCAAAGACGTAGGGGATCTCGTCCCCGTGCGCCGCGTCCGCCCACTCCGGCCGGGCGTCCGTCTGGCAGTGGTGGTAGAAGGTGTAGAAGTAAACGGGCGACTGGTACTCGGCGTGCAGCTTGGCCGTGGCCACGGCCGGGGCCACCCACTGGTGGTCCGTGAAAAGGGCCAGCAGGGTCTTGCGCCGCATCTCGCCGTTGTCGCGGTCGGCCCAGTCGGTGTACATGAACTTGATGGTCTCCCGCAGGATGTCCTTCCCCTCGGGGTAACCGTACAGGTTGTCCACGAAATTGGAGACGGTGAAATCGAAGTAGGAAGCCGAGATGCCGTCTTCGCTCTCCAAAGAATCCTCCACGAATTTCAAGCCTTCTCCCTGGTTCACCCCGATGAGGATGTCGTAGTTCAGGAACTCTCCTTGTTGCATTAAGATCTCCGGGTCGTCCGGCACCACGTCGCCGTCCACCACGGGTCCGAAAGCCACGTGGTACCGCGCCGGCTGGACGTCCTGGTCCACCAGGGCTCGGTACGGCTGCCTCCGCAGGCACTCCACCGCTGCCCCCGTGTCCGCCCGCTCGCAGCCCACCTTGGCCGCCAGCAGCCGGGTGTATTTCAGGGGCTGGTAGTTGACCGACCAGCTGGAGATGGCCGTCCCGCTCTGAGCGATGGCCTTCTGGAAGAGACCTGAGGGGAAATGGGGAGGGGGGGGNNNNGGGGGGGGGGGGGGAAGGGGGGTGCTGGTGGTGCTGGTGGTGCTGGTGGGGATGGGGTCCCAGCAGGAGATGGGGATGTGGGGATGGGGTCCATCAGGACATGAGGATATGAGGACATTGGGATGGGGTCTCAGCAGGAGAGGGGATGTGGGGATGTGGGGATGTAGGGATGTTGGGATGGGGTCCCACCAGGAGATGGGGATGTCAGGATGCTGGAATGTTGGGATGGGGTCCCAGCAGGAGATGGGGATGTGGGGATGTAGGGATGTTGGGAGGGGGTCCCA